TCCTTCCTCAGACACATAAATATCCTTCACTTGATCTAACTCCCTAACCTAAACCACCATAATCTTTTCCCTCATCCTCAACCTCTCAACAATATTCTAGATAGTTGACACATTACAACTGTCACCTGACATCCCTCTTTACTATACTTTCCTATAGTGCTATATGACCTTAGATGTCTAGCACATTTATCTTAACCATTAACCATTAACCATTTATTATTGCTGCTGTCTTAGCATTTCTTCCAGTGAGTATATACATTTATCATTGCTTTTCTGTCTCTCAATGTGTCTCCGGCTCTCTCTCCCTCTCACTGCCTGTGTATCAGTTAACATTAATAGACATTGTTATCTATCCATGAACTCGGTCCGCATCGCAACAAAGCACAACGAAGACAAGGCTCACAATGTTTTCGGCCAACAAGCAGGAGTGGAGATGGCCATTGAATTTAAATGCCCGCTGAGAAGAATGTCGTTGGGGTGAGATGGCTCTGCATTTCGATTTACTAGCCCATCTCCCCACACTTGCACAATATTTGAGCCACCATTAGTATATCCATAGTCACCAATGATTGCTTTTGGAACCATGTCATATCACCAGTCTGCTAATCTGAAGTTGCATATGAAATGATAATAGCCCGATCATGCAGTTCCCTACAATACACTGTATGTCTCAAGAAAATCGTAACAAACTAGAAATAGAAGGCAACGTACATTCATTAGTAGGCTATTCCCCGAAACTGCGTTTTTACTAATTGCAAACGAAATTTATAATAGCATAACTAAACAAACCTACACGTGATTAGTTAGCCGTGTAAACCTTAACAAACTAAGAAATCATTGTTATAATTGTCGCTTTGGAAGTTGTGCAGCGACAAGAATCCCGTCAATGAGAATTCGTGGGAGTGAATCGTCAACACGGATCTGTGCTGGGCTCGATCTCATTCACAATAGTCATTAATCTAAGATTAACGAAAACTGTCTTGTTCAATACGCCAATGACTGAAAACAACGTATGAGTTTATAAGAAAGTAACAGACTCACACACAAGTATTTGCAGGTTCATACTGAATCTGCAATGTAATTCTATAGGCAGCTGCCAAAACCTTATTTAAATATCTACCGTGATACAATTAAAGAACTCGACGAAAGTTTTTCAGAACTAAGCACTTCATGAAGAAATCTTGGGAGTATGCATTGACAGATAAGACCCTTGAGACTCGAGGTATAATACTTTACAGGGGCGTGCTGAGATTGCAAGGGGTTCACAAGGTTGAAATGGCGCCCTTTTCCATGGTTACTTTTAAAAATTTGCAGCTGTATTTCGTTTTATTTATCATCCATGCATAACACTAGAGTCGAAGTTTAGCTGTTGATAGAAAGAATTACACAACAAATTAACTTGATTATCATCACTGATAATCTTTATACGTATGAAAGTTTGCTATATATGAATTATCAATATCAATTCGAAGGTTGACTGTCGAATTACGTAATTAATTAATATATTGTGTTTGTTTCATTGAAATCTTAATTTGGTGCGATAAGTATTGTTGAGATCTTTGAAGAATAATCTTAATTCACTAACGAACAACTCGGGCATGTGGAAATTTACTTTGGCGCCCCTATTATTCATTGGCAGCATGCCACTGATGCTGCATCTAAACTACTTAAAACAAGACTGCTGCTGTACAGAATGAGGCCTCTTAACGTCGTCAACTACTATTTAAATATACTTAAAATACATTGCCCCTCTCATAAACCACACAATTGAAAGGCCACCACGGATATCTTGTAAGAGCACATTCATAAGTCCATACAGGGACAATATCCTGATTAAATATTAAATCTACAAAGGACAATTGATTTCTACGGCCGTATCCCCAGTCGGAATGGCTCCAAATGCGAAAGCGCACTTCAGAATGGAATTATTATTAATCGAACCCTCCTCTGATGTCGTGGAGGGGGGGGGGGGATTAGGACACTGAGGCCCAATGTAGAGGATCACCCCTACCTTAGACCTTAGCTGCCGCCAACTTTTTTCAAGGTCTTTTCTTTTCCCCCTTTCCCTCTCCTTCTCTTCTTGTCCACATCCTAAAGTGAGAGCCGTGCTGAAAGGATTAAAGGTTGGCTTTGTGTCAGTCCTGAACGGCCTTCGTACTCCGTTTGCTCTTCCCTCCTTACCATTTTCACTACCATGTAGGGAACTACAACCTTTGACATCTAAGATATTGTTCTAATCGTTAACTCATTTCCAACCTTTTCAGCCCAAAACTTTATCATAGTGCTTTATTACCTTTCATGTTTGGCACATTTAATTGTTTTGGCCATTAATCATTCTAGGAATCCACAAACATGGCCTTATGAACCAAAACACTTCCTTACCGGGGGTTTCGTCGCCAAGCCTCACCCGATGGCCATATTTTGAAAACGCCGCTAATGGCCTTGGATGTTGACGCGGCAGAAAAAATTGCAATAACTAAATGAATAAATAAATGATCTTAGTCGAAGTTGACATTTATTTACCAGAATGTACTTATGATATAAAAATGGAGTAGATTATTTTTAAAGGGAATGTTGCTGACAGTCTTGTGATTTTGCGAGCACTGACTTTAAACTTTAGCAGTACCGAACTTTTCAGAGGCTTTACATATCTAGACGTTTTACTTTTATTTTTTTATTACCTCCGCCAAGGAGGTTATGTTTTTGGTAGCACTGGTTAGATTGTTGGTTAAATGGTTTGCTGGATAACTCAAAAAGTTATGAATAGATTTTAAAGATTTTTTTTACCAGTGTGTCTTAACCCAACGAAGATGCTAACAAATTTTGGTGGTGATCTGGATCCAGGATTTTTTTTTAAGGAATCATTAGCATTGCGAGATAGGGCAACGCGGTCGTCACCAGCGTACTTGAGAAAGAGGTAAATTTGATGCAATTTTTCAAATGTGAATATCTTTATTGCATCAGTGACACTGTTACCATGGCGGAGGTATGCACTCTCTGAGTGCTTCTAGGTTATTATTGTTATTACATCGTTGTTATTATTGTTATTATTATTATTATTATTATTATTATTATTATTATTATTTTCATTATTACTATTTTGCACGAGGCAAATGTATTCTAAGACCATATGCTAGTTACCATGCAGATCAAAAGTAATAACAGATGCATGTCGCTTTTGTACTTGTAGTTATTCCCATAATTCTTTATATATATATATATATATATATATATATATATATATATATATATATACATATACATATACATATACATATACATATATATATATATATATACATATATATATATATATATATATATATACATATACATATACATACATATACATATACATATATATATATATATATATATATATATATATATATATAATATATATATATATATATATTTCGTAGGATTCTTTATTACACCATGTATTGCATATTAATAACCAAATTCACTACAAGTACTTGATGAATGAATATCAAATACCCAAAGGTGTAATTCTTAGACAACTGCGCTTGTCTAGTTAACTACAATATTCAGTAGTAAATTTTTTCCATAGTTGTTTACCTTTGTCGGTGCGCCAAGCCTACCTTTAAGGTTATCACGGCACTTGCTGTAATAACATTACCCGGCAATTAGCTATGTCATCAGTGTATAGTAATTGTCATAATTTTCACTTCCTCGACAACACCCTAAGAATAACATTCTGGTCCGTTTACACGGTGCTATTATGTCTATGCAAGAAGTCTTTTCTTTTAACAAACATCGGTGTAAGTCATGTGTATCGAATTTTTGATAGTTTTATAGTATAACCGACTGAAAGCATTTGATTAAAAAATCTATACAAGTTTAATCTCAATGTCAGTACATACCTATACAGTAGAAATATACTGAATCAAAATATAATTTCCAAACTATGGTGAGGCTTAGAATTAGCTTATTTGTAAGAGATCTATATGTTTAAAATATCCATATAAAGGTTTTTGTCTCCGATCAGAACTTTAATCCCGTGTCTTTTAGGTTTCCATCTTGGAAAACGTGAAATCGCCAGAATCAGATGCGGAAATTGCAGAATTTTGGTCGCGGCAAAAACAAGTTGCGAATACCTGCAACGGTTGCAAATATCAGGTGCAAGTGTGACAAAAGCTATATTTTATGTTAGCAATTTCTTTCCAAAATATTAATTGAAATTAACACTGCTATTTTGAAATTGATATATAACAATTAACCTACTAGTAACCCTCGTAACTGTGAACCAGCAAATTACAAGTAAGGTAAATCGCGTAGGTTGGCAGTTCACATTCTAAGCAATCGCGGTCGCGTTAGGAAGGCGCCTCGGGATACGCGTTGACTACGTCCGTTGTAGCTTGCGACGGTCGCATCGGTTCGAAGACGAGGGCGATGCCCAAGGCAAGGGGTACGGTCGTTAGTCTGTCAGAAGACTACTTTTGGGAAAACAAGAACACGGCATTTGAAAATCTGTGGACCGAAAATCTGGAACCAACTGCCTCATTTTTTACAGTATCAATGATTCTGCACATTGCAAACCCTGTATTTAAAATTGTTTTTGCTTATCGCGTTTTACTGTGCTCCGTGATCACTATTCATTCAAATGGAAGAACGATCGTAACTAACGATAATAAAACCTGGAAAAAAAATCTCTCTCTTACCCCCCCCCCCCTCCTCCTCGCTTTTACTCTCCCTCTTACTCTCTCTATCCTCCTCTCTCCCTCACAGTCACCGCTCCCTCTTCCTCTCCATCTCTCATTCTTCCCATCCTCTTCTCTTCTCCTCTTCCTCCCCATTTCTCTCCCTCTTCCTCTCGTTCTCTCATTCCCCCTGCCTTTTCATCTCACGCCGCTTCTCCCACTTTCTTTCTTTTCTCTTCCCATCTCCATCTCCCTCTCCCTATTTCTTTCCTTTCTCTTCCCATCTCCATCTCCCTCTTCCTATACCCACCTATCTGCCGCACTGTCTCCCACACTCAC